CCCTAAAAAATATTTAAAATATTCTTTTTTGGGATTTTATTTTTATTTTGCGAATACTTATTATTTTGTTTTTCGTTATACATAAACCCATTATTAATTAATTATAAAATAAAACTAGATTTTTATTATTTCTAAAAGTTTTGCACGAATAATGCTGTATAAAGTAACGTCGATCAGACTACACCTCAGTCGAATTTTAACGGCAAAGTCAACTCAGTTGCAGATGGTTAAACTCATGTTTGCCTTTATAAGAGTTTGGCCTTTAAAATAAATCGATTTTTTTATTTGAATTTTTATTGCTATTAATGACTTCTTTCGTCTTGAAATTACTTTGCAAAAGTTTATATTTCAGGAGTCCCATATAACTTTATAATTTAACTTCGTTCGTCTCGTGGATTTCATTAGAGGCGACAGAGGAAAACAAACCATATCATCTATTTATATATAAATTTTCGTTTGTTCAAAATTATATATCACAGCAAACTCATCACCGAGTGTTTTAAACTTACTTGAATACAACTTTGCATTTGAATGCGTGTGTGTTTTTATACAAGTTTTGTAAATTTTTGAGCAACATCAACGTGTGACATGTACAGCAAGAATAATGATGGTAAGTGGCTACTGCAGCCCATGGACAACTGTAACTAACTTTTTAGAAAGAAGACTACAGATGAGTTCTCGCCCATAAAGAATGTCTCAAAGCTTGTAATTATCCTGGCTTTCTATACATGTCAGACTGGAACATAGGTGTGAAATCATTGGTAAGAGGGTGGTCCCTACTCACGCGCACTCCAATATAGAAAAGGAGTCCTATCACCTAGTTAATAGTGAATTTAAGTTCAAAATTATACGTTCGCGTTGTTTATTTATTTATTTATTTATTTATTTATTTATTTATAAGGGTCACCGACAGATGATACACAGATACTAAAAACAAGATCCAAGCATTGAGAGAAACATGAAATGTGCTCACCCAGTTATAGGCAACCAAAGCTTACACAGAGTAATGTTGCGAAAAGTTAATTATCATAAAATTTAATATTACAGTAGCAAAATTGCGTATTTATGATAAATTAAAAAGGGTTTACATTCATCATTAAGATTCTAAATAAAGTAACATTTTTCTTCTGAAAATATTTAAATTGTCATTGAAAATATCTAAATCAGAAGGCCTAGATATATCATTATACAGTCTAAACATTCTGCATAATGCTGAATTAAGACCGAGGTTAGTCCTATGAGGTGGGACCATAAACAGCTTGTAGACATTCAATCGTGGTAATCTGCTTGGAGCATTAATGTTAACCATTTCCAGTAATTGAGAACAGTCGATGCCATTATTGCACAGTTTATAGAGGAAGCTCAAATCCAAAAGTTTCCGCCTGTTATATAAGGAAGATAAACGGAAATGTTTTAGCCGTTCATCATATGAAGTTAAGGAGCGATGTCGGTTAAATTTCAATGCTAGCATACTAAGAAACCTCCGCTGTACTCGTTCAATTCCACTCTTATGAACCTCATAGTAAGGTGACCAAACTTGAGAACAATATTCAAGGTTGCTTCGAACTAAGCTGTGAAAGAGTAGTAGTAAAGTTTGAGTATGTCTGAACTGTCTGGTGTTTCTACATAAAAATCCGAACATTTTGGACGCCTTCGTTATAATACTGTTTATATGTGGTACGAAAGACAGTTTACTATCCAACAATACGCCCAGGTCTCGTATACACTCTACTTGATTGATTACTGTGTTGCCAATTTTGTATGTAGTTTGGATAGGAGTATGTTTGCGAGTGAACGACATATGATGACACTTTTTAGCATTCAGAAGCATACTGTTTTGAGTACACCACTCGATCAATCTATCAAGATCGGCTTGAATAAGCTGGGAGTCTGCTGACGATCTAACAGGTCTAACGAATTTCAAATCGTCAGCAAACAGGTAAACCTCTGTGTTCAAAAAACATTCTGTCACTGAGTTGATCAAAATTAGAAACAAAAGGGGCCCTAGATGTGACCCTTGAGGAACACCCGAGGTTACCTTAAACGGTTCAGACTGTTTCCCATTAACAACTACATAACACTCGCGAAGAGTTAAGTAAGATCTAAACCAAACCAAAATAGGGCCGCCAATACCACAACTACTTAATTTCGTCAAAAGTATCTCATGATCAACTTTATCTAATGCCTTGCTAAAATCTGTATAGATAGCATCGACCTGAGAACCCTGATCAACATGCTGGATAATATAATTGGTGAAGGCAATTAAATTAGTAGTGGTGGACCTATTTCTAAGGAAACCATGTTGATGATCAGTAATTTGAAATTTTAGTAAATTATAAACATAAGGGTAGATTAAAATTTCAAAAACTTTAGGAAAAATAGATAAAATGGATATTGGTCTGTAATTTCTGATGTTATTCTTAGTACCATCTTTGTAAATGGGAACAATTTTAGCCATTTTCCAGTAGGTAGGAAATATTCCAGTTTTAAGAGATTCGTTGAAGATACAAGTAAGTGGCAATGATAGTTGCTTTGCACATTGATATATAAACAACGGCGGTAATCCATCTGGGCCAGGACCTTTATATAAGTCAAGTCTCTTTAACCTCCTGAGAATTAAATTATCCGACAGCATAATAGAACTAAGCGAGAATGGAAATGAATGGATACCATCGCGTTTTTGGTAACAAACTTGTGGATTTAGACTTTTACTATAAATAGATGAAAAATTTTTCGCAAACAGTTCACTTATGCTTGTTCCATCCACTCCGGTTATAAAAGTAATCTTTCAAGAACTTCATTATTGTCTACTATAACGACGATAATTCACTTCACTTACAACGGGTACGATACTTCGTAGTATCATTAACCATTAGTTCATGATTTACGTACGCTTTCTAATCTCAAGTCATAATTCACTGAGGCTTGCAGTCACTTTACATAATAAGGAGAAAGCAAGAAAAATTAAAATATGTATGTATTTTTCGTGCCTCTTATTTATTTAGACTAAGATACCAACAGCATAAGGTAATAAAATAAATGCATCATGTAGTGTTGGTTTAAGATAATCTACTACCCCATATCACCCCTATAAAGATGGGTTGCAGTATCTTCCTTATAACCACTACGAATAATAAAAATTAAACCTGCGGCTGCTAACCCGCCTGCCAATTGTGGACAATATGAGAAATATCGCCCCTATGAAACAATCAAATGTGGCCTTTATAATACATGTGATTTTGATACTTTATTAATTAATCACAAAATGAATAATGTATTATAAACTAGTTATATAGTAACAATAGTAGTGTAGGCAGTTACATATAGCCACAAGAGTATATTAGGGCAGAAGGGATGAGAGCGATACTGTTAAACAATCATATTACTTTTTTTTTCGAGGGGAAATTCTCATGGATACCTCCGGCTGCGGGGGCAACCGGAAGGTTATGCCGACTCCTACCGGCCAAAACCCTACGGTGGTCTCCATCACCGTGTACGAGAGGTCCCGGTATCTCTGTTCGGAACACAACCGGGGCCCCCCTCTCGCTTTGCTTTATTTGAAGCACGTCCCAACGGCAGAAATTTCTACCCCCACCACCCTCGCATTACTATCACGATGTCTCCGGACCACTTCCGAGCCATCGTCCTCCTCGGGGGTTACATTGTTAGGCATTCGAGGCTCCCGCTCCAAACACTTGTAACCCCAGAGGCCCCATTTCTGGTAGGGGAACACCCTCTTCAAAGGGAGGGCCGTGACAAACGCCTAGATGACGTTTTCTCCGAGTGGGATCTGTCCTCCTTCGACCCCGCTCAGCAGCCTCCTTCTGTTCCATTACGGAGTTACAGATGGTGGCTACGGCCCTCCACACCGAGTCCCCGCTCAACATCGCCGACACGACTGCTGGCAGGGAGAGGTCCCGACCGACCCGGTTTGCCAGGATCATTTGCTCCCGTTCCCACGTTGGACATACCGCCAGCGTATGGGACGCGGAGTCTTGGTTCTGTCCACCGCAGTGAAAGCAGTTCGCCGTCGCTTCGCGTCCGATCTTACACAGATAATCACCAAAACACCCGTGCCCGGTAATTATCTGTGTAAGTCTGTAGGTGAGTTTTCCTACTTGTCGCTGCATCCAGGCTTCGAAGACCGGCAGGATTGTGCCTATAACACGATTGCGAGCATAGCGCTCCTTGTTGAGTCAATTGCGCCACATTGCTAAAGCGTTCTGTCGCTCCTGCCGTTTTATAGACTCGAGCGCCTCAACTGGCTCACTACCACCTCTCTGACGAAGGATGCGGATTCGGTTATACACCTTCGCATTCATATCTGCCAGTATATCTAGGGGTGGGAAGCGAGCTAGGACTGTTGCCGCCTCAAAAGGTATCGTGCGGTATCCCCGCAAGTTCCGTACAGCCATCCTCCGCTGGACACTGTGGATTTTAGATCTACAGCGCCGGATGGCTAGCCTTTTTGCCCATACAGGTGCCGCGTATAAGGCTACGGACCGTACTACCCCCGCATATAGGCGGCGTATTTCATCCCTCGGTCTCCCTAAATTGGGCAGCAGTCTGTGCATAGCACCTGCCACCCTCTCAATCCGGGGGACTAGGCGCTCAAAGTGCTCTTCGAAGCCCAAGCGACTGTCCAGATGGAGCTCTAAATACTTCTTGTACCGCTCCACTCTGACTACAGACCCACCCACGTAGACGCACGAGTCGAGTGGTTCCCTGCTTCGAGTTAATTTGTGAAACCATAAGGCCTCGGTCTTATGAGGCGCTATTTCTAGACCCAACTCGTGGATTTTGGCGACGACGACTTCTGTCCCAAGCTCAGCGAGCTCCTTGGTCCTCTCGAAGGTAACCCCGCTGGCAACCACCAGTGTGTTATCGGCATAGCACACGATATTTACGCCAGCATGAAGGTCGACACGCAGAACCGCATCGTACGCGAGGTTCCACAGTAGCGGACCCAGCACTGAGCCCTGCGGAACCCCACGTTTGATCTACCTCCGTATATTCCTACCATCTTGCTTCATGTACAGAATGTACCTGTCGCGCAAGTAGTCCCCGATTACGTCTTGCAGGTAGGCAGGCACCTGGTGGTATTCTAATGCCCATCGTATTGTATCCCAGGGTAGAGAGTCAAAGGCGTTGACAATACCAAGACTTATCGCCAACGCCAAACCACCCCGGGATACTACTTGTTCCGACAGGGAGCGGACGCGCATAGTGGCATCTATGGAGGAACACTTCCGTCGGAATCTAAATTGGCTTTCTGCCAAATCGGGACAGACGCGCGACAGATGTCCGTTGAGCCGAGTAGCAACTATCCTTTCGAATAATTTGCCAATCTCCTCCAACAGGCATATGGGACGGTACGCAGAGGGAGAATCGGCGGCCCTGTTTTCTTTCTTCAAGAGGATCAACCTTGCTTCTTTCCATGCTGTGGGGAACTTGGTACTCCGCAGACAGCCGGTAAACAGTTGTCTTAGCCTGTCCCCCAAGGCAGCCAGACTCAGCACCAGAGCCCGACCAGGAATTCCGTCAGGCCCCAGTGCGGTGTTCCGGACTCTCCAGCAGCTAACGTCTCGGTCCAGCTCCTCCACGGTCACCTGCATCTCATCATGCTACTCCAATGATGATGGCAGATGACCTGAGGGACTTGACCGGTCCTCTGGGAAAAGCATGCCGATCACTCTTCCCGGCAGGTCCGGATCGAGAGTTTCCGTCAATTCCAGCGACCATGACCGGAGTTTTCCCAGCACCATCCTGTACGGTCGCCCTCAGGGATCTTCGTTGAGTCGCTCTAGGAGCTCTTTCCAGGACCGAGACCTAGCGTTAGATATAGCGATTTGTAACGCCTTTGTAGCCGCTCGATATGCCCCGTAGAGTCCGGCTATCTCCTCAGGTGGAGTTTGCCTTCTTCTTCGGGCTCTTGTGTACTGGCGCCGACTCGGCAAGCAGATCGCACGAAGGTGTGCAATTTATGACGACCACCAGTACACCGCCCTGCGCCTGGGACGACTGGTTCTGGGCATCGAGACGTCGCATATTTGCGTCATCGTAGCTCGGAACTACTTGCTTCGCTTCCACTTTCGGATCGAGCGGAACCTCTTCGGCTTTTTCTGGCCAAGCCACGACGATGGCGGTGGCTTCAAGCTTGTCTCCGCTTGAGACACCAATGCCGCGGTGGGCTGCTCTCTGGACGACTGGAGTTACTGTCGAAGTGGCGAAGTGCGACATCAAACATGATGTGGCGCTGGTCCGACAGTGTCACCACCTCTGTCGCCACTTGCCATCCCGACTGCATTCGCATTGCAGGAGGAGTTCCCCACGTAAGGTCTACAATGGATTCCCCCTGCCACCGCACACATGTACTCTCAGACCCCCGATTTAATAGTCGAAGGTCCAGACCAGCCGCCCATTCCATTATGATCTCTCCCTTTGGATTGTCCCTAGAGTTGCCCCCAAGCCCTGTCAAGGGCGTTAAAATCTTCTAGGACGATCGACGGACGGGGTAAGCACCCGCCCACGCAATCCGCTACCTCGTCCAGGCACTCCTCGTAGTCGGCGAGGGTCCTGTTGGGAGAGACATAGCAGCTCACTATAACCAGGATGCCCCATTGTACTGCAACAAAGCCCCGCCCCCTTTGCAGGAGGACGCAAGGTGGAGCAACATCACCACCCCCCCCCCATGGTCGGGCACGTTATGGGGTTCCGCTACTACTGCAAGGGCAACCCGCCACTCCACAATGGTTTGCATAAGCAGATGTTGTGCATTGCGGCAGTTGTTCAGATTACCCTGGAGGACTTTGAGGGGCGTGAATTCTACGTCTCAACAACTTCCATTGCCGAGCCGGAGCTCGGTGCTGCAGCAGGTACTGCTGTGCCCGTCTTGCTGGAGGGAGTGGGAGGGTGTTTACTCTTCCTTACTTTCCTTACTCCCCTTTTCGCAGGTTGAGCGCACTTTTTCCCCAACCTATGGTTGGATGGACGTCTATGGTCAGAACAGACTGGACCGACGCGGTGCACTGGTTTGCTCTGTGACCGGGTTCGCCACAGGCATAGAAGCGGGTGCTCCTGTCTGCCTCGATAGGGCATTTACTGCCGACGTGCCCCTTCTCGAGGCATCTGTAACTGTGCATAGGCCTGGATTCCAGTAGTTTTACACGAGTTGAACCCCATCCAATGCATACACGTCCTTCAGTCATTAGTTTTTGGACCGCTATTATCGGGCATCGCATCCTGCACGTCCCCATGCTCGGCGGACGTCCCCAACTTTGATGTCGTCTACCGAACAACCACCCAACTCGGCGATCGCAGCTGCTATCTCACAGGGGCTGACTGCGTCGTAAACAATCATATTACCAAATCTAACAAAACATCGTAAGATTGATCTTACTTTTAAAGTTTTGATTAATAAGATGAAGTGAAATCGAAAATAGTTATTATATTATTATCATCGACGTAGAGGAGAAATTACGTACAATATTAAAAACCACAGACGTCACCTTTTCTTGTAACATTTCACCGCGGGGGCTGCATGAGTATACTATTATTTAACCAACTAATGTGAAATATAAAATAAAAGAAGAATAATATGTCGAAAAGAAGTTTAACTTCGTACAGGTGTATGCAATAACACAGAACTTTTTTAAAGTTTGTTATTTAAATATTAACTGTAAAATTTTAAAATAAACTAGCACTTGTAAACAAAATTACCTACCTAGAAAAGGAGCTGATGATCTTCAAACGACTGAACAGATTTTCTTAAAATATAGCTAACATCAATTTCGATTAAGACACCTTTCAAACGAAAAAACTAAATCAAGATCAGTTCATCCGTTAGAGAGATATGATGCCACAGATAGACACACAGATACACAGTCACACATTATAAAAACTTTTACACCCTTATGTTATCTAGAGTTTAAATAGAGGCCATTTAAATCTCTTGAGCTAAATTAGAATGGCTCTCCAGCACCTTAAACACGGAAAAGCCCCAGGTGAGGATGGGATTACAGCGGAGCTTCTGAAAACCGGTAGTTAAAGTCCTTTAGAAGCTCTTTGATTCCGTCCTCCATGGTGGCTCTACACCGGAGGCGTGGAGCAGAGGTGCGGTGGTCTTATTCTTTAAGAAAGACCACCACGCTCTCCTAAAGAACTACAGGCGAATGCACATTCTGAGCCGCGTCTACGTGCTGTTTTCGAGAGTCATTACAAATCGTCTCGCACGCAGCTTCGACGACTTCCAGCCTTCCGAACAAGCCGGTTTACGATAAGGCTTTAGCACCATAGACCACATACATACCCTTCGGCAAATTATACAAAAGTCCGAGGAGTACAATTTGCCACTATGTATGGCGTATGTGGCCTATGTTGAAACCTTTGATTCCGACGAAATTTGGGAACCGAAATCCTTCGTAACGAGGCATTTAATTTTCATCATTCATTTCATATTAGTCCTTAGAAGGATAAAGTATCTGCATTTTACTGTGCGTTGGTATCTATGGGTCACAGGGTAAGTTGCCTGTTCAGTTTACTGATCCATTGAACTATGTAGGCAACCCATCAGCACTTTGATCGAGGATAGATGTAGATGTCTATGGGCATCAACTTACCATCAGGTAGAATGTGTGCGCGTTTATCAACTTTATTTCATAAAAAAATCTATGTATTTCTATTCTCAATACAAAGGAGATGAACTTTGTTCCATACAAGCTTGGGCCCGGCGTTAATAATGTTCAGATATATCTTATTTTGAATATTTAATTATTTTTTCCTTATGACAAAAAAATCATATTATTGTAGGGCCTGGGGTTTTGTTTTTATTTTGCTTTATTATTTGTAGCTTATGTAGTAAAATCATTCGTTCTTGGGATAAGTTGTTTCAATAAATTGAAAGGAACATAAAAGGATGCCGTTTTTAGTTATGATGAAATAAAATAAAATAAAATAAAATAAAATACACCTCAAACTTTTCTAATTGTTTAATTATTTTCTGCAATTATTAATAAAATGTCATCTAGAAAAGCAGCCTGAGGCTGTACGTTGTCTGTTCTATACCTCTAAAAAACCCAAGTTACACATTATTGTCATTATGTGGGCGCAACAACCTACTGTCCTATAAATCTAGATAAAAGCCAAGGGTAAAGTTTAATCAATTCACGAAAATAAAAACACGAAATATATCCACAAACACAACCACAATGGCAAATGCACATAGATAACTGTATATATACTAGACATAGATGCGCAACTGAAATTTAATTTTCGATATTGCGTCGTGTCCGCCTAACAGATGGCGCTTAATTCTCACAAAAGAAAGGACTTGAATCTGGACTCGAACCGGGGTTTCGGACCGCCCGATTTCCCGCCTGAGCTATTATAACCTTGTACGTAAGTGCTGGAACTTACCTTCGTATTCTTATAATATTTTAGCAGTTTTTCATTGCCATCGATAGAAAATGCCGTTTTATCTGTGTTTTCATACAGAAAAAATGGCATTTTCTAAAAATAAATCCTAGGTAAATCGATTTATCGCCCCCCAAACCCTGCACACAAAAATTCTTACCAAATTGGTCACATTTAAAAACACATTGCTTTCGCGACATTTTTAAACAAAAACAAAACAGGGCCGCAGAAATAATAAATATTATTTGAGCAAAATTAATTATTATGAAAGAAAACACATGCAATGCACGAGAAATTAGAATAATGTTCAATAAACATTAATAACAATTTACTTAATTTGTAAAATTTAATTTGTAAACATAATTACCAGTGACCGCTACTAACTGCGTAGTGCGCATTACAGACTAACTTGTAGATTCTACCCTAATCAGACGGACATCTCACGAACTAAACTTACTCGACTTAGCTTCTGCATCCTGATTGGTTGTAGTAAGATGATATATGACATTTCCTTTTTTTGAAGCAGCTATACCAGGCAAAGGACGTCCCAAATAATAGCCACTTGCAAAATTAGTTTTATTATATTGAAAATAAAACGAAGTAAATACAAATGTAGCAATGTGGAAATTTAATATTTTTTATTAGTTATTAATTTTTACTTTACAATAATTTTGTTTACAAATTTAATAATTAACTTATTAATATATACATTATTAAAAAACTAAAACTAGTAACTTAATTATCATATAGTCCTCATTTTAACTTTACAATAATTATGTTTACAAATTTAGAATGAGACCAGGTTTTTTGATCCCATTTCCGCTTATTAAAATTACAATTAAAAAAAAAACTTAAACTAAAAACTTAATTATCATACAGTCGTTCTCACCGCGGTATCGCGCCAAGAGCACTGGCTGCGTTTCCCCGCTGAATGGCTTAATATTACTTAGCTCTGGAGCGAGAAAAGAACAAGCCATCTATTTAGAATTAATGGATATCAATATAAGATTCACCAGTTTTACCACTTTCGTTACTCACTTTCCTTTCATGTCCTTTAAACAGTCTCTTTATTTTTAATAATTGTGCACTAACATCATCTCCATAATTACAAGATGAGTGGTGAAATTTAATGAAACCCGTAATTAATAAAGATTTAAAAGCACCTATGAAATTGTTGTAAGTTGGATTACTGTCCCTAAAATTA